ACAAAAAAGCACTAAGAAAATAATAATCCACGAAAGGGCTGCTACACTGTAAAAGGAGCACATCGACGTCTTCAAAATCACAGAGGCAGTGTCTATAGCTTGTTCACTTTCATCTGACAGTGTTAAAAAATTCTAGCTCATTGACAAATTCACCTATGCCCACGAAACTTTGCATGGCACTTCTACAGGCTAGAGCCTAAACAAAAATATTTTTTCAAATAATCTTGACCCAGTAATAAAAGTTTTTCTCTTTGGACCCTATATTAAAAACAACTCTTTGGATTCATATACAGGACCACATCTCCACGTACTACAGGTGCGTCTCGAAAATTACTCACCCCGTCTCTTGAATCGTGTTTCTTAGGCGAGGGTTAAAGAGCGGTAATGAACTTCCAGAGTGAAGGAGAGCTACGCAGATTTTTTCGCTTCTCAGTCGAATAATCACAAAGGCCAAAGAAAGACGGGAACTTTTTGTCCAATATATTTTTCTAAATTCAGGAAATTGATAATCAAAAATCGGGCTCCGTCATGGGGACCTATCTATCTTTTTTGCAGGTACTTGCTAACTTTCAACTCTGTAGCTGTCGTAGTTTTATGGGAAATGTGACACATATGTTTTCAATTTGCCAAATATATAATACTAGCTGGGCCCCCTTTCGATGAAAGGAATGATCGGAGTATTAACATAAGCCGAAAGTAATTGGCCTTCGATATTTACACTCTACTGGAATGGAGCAATAAATCTTGAGAGATGTAAAAAAAAATTAGACGGTTTAGATTTATACTCTCAAAACAGTGCGCACGGTTAGTGAACAAAAACCTCACTTGTTTACAATGGTGTCTTAGAAGACGGACTTTCCCAAGGTTAGATCTAAACAAAACTAATGAAAACCTGAAAATTAAGCTAGTGACTTCAGGCCCCTAAAAAAAAACAACCCAACTGTGCACCCTTTAAATGATTCTGAACCACCATTAATTTTGTCAAATTCGAAAGTTAAGTGGTTCGGAAGTTTTAGGCAGCGAAAATGACGAACTTTCACTAATATTATAATATATACATGTATATTTTTATTTTTATTTTATATACACACACACACACACACACACATACACACACACACACACACACACACACACACACACACACACACACACACACACACAAATATATATATATATATATATATATATAAATATTTATTTTGTGTGTGTGTGTGTGTGTGTGTTATACGATATCAGACGATCTATTTCCCTTTCTTTCCCTACTTCCTCTCTCCCAGATATGTGTGTACGTGTGTTTCCACCTGTCTCTTTGCCTAAACACGACGCTCCAAGACTCCTTGGCTTGTTCTACAGCTTGTCAGGCCAGCAATACCCTGCCATTATTGTTGTTCCCACCGGCACTCTCGTGTTACAAGGTCACAAGGCTCGAAGAAACACATTATTAAGGCGTTGAGGCTGGTGATTCAACGCATAACAGAGCATGAAAAAACACAAGTCTTACAAAGGCCTACAATGGGACTTTTTTTAAAAGAGAAGATTACGTTAAGGTCCGTCTACGTTCTATCTGGGGAGCAAGCATTGTCGAAATATTAACTTTTGTCAGGTGGAGAACGCATCATTTATTATGTTGCTGCTGTTGTAGCCGCCGTTGTTATCGCAGTTTTTGACGTTGTCATTGCTATTGTTGCTAGTGTTGGTATAGTTGTTGCTGCTATTACATTTGGTTTTGGGGATGATGCTCTTTATCATTGTTGTCATTGTTTGTTAGTATAGGTTTTTTTCTAAGTTGGTGTCGTTGTCATCATCCTGGTGCAAAATGAGCCCCGTCTGCTACCCTTTGATATCACTGGCGAGATAACCATTGCTGTTTGGGTTTTTTTGTGTGTGCATTAGTTCTATTTGTGTTGATGGGTCTTCGTTGAGAGATTGAACCTGTCTTTTAAATTCCAAGTGACGCTGTGTAGATGGGTAAAGCGTGTAATCAAATTACCATTTTCTTAACTTTTATCTTTTATTAAAGTCCCACATAAAAGAAAAATACCAGGTAATGATTTATTAATTGGACTGCACAACATAAAGTAGGCTTCTGGCACGTTAAAAAAGCATGGTGAGTTGTTGTATTGTGAATATAAAATATATTTATGTTATTTTTCCTTGACTTAGGTTCTTGACATAACTTATCATGTAGACACTCTCTATAATAGTCATTAATTGGAACCTCGGCTCGTTTATTTGAAGCATATCATCACAGTACTGGCGGCAGTGTTGGAAAAATCAATGAAACAGGCGGGAACAGCAGAAGAAGGAATACGAACGAACAAAGACCACCTGCTGTGAAAATAAAGACAAACATTCTAATATTAAAAGTATATT